CAAAGATAAGACAAGTGGTATCAGGTGTTTTAGAAAGAGTGCGAACATTGTGTACATATCATTAGTCAATACTGATAGCTAAATGGAGTTTGTATTTTTGTAACCACATCCATATAATGATAAAGTAAAGTGTGATATTATTGATAATGTATACTGGGAAGCTCATTTAGTAAATGTGTTTAATAAATCATAATCTGCTCATATAACCTAGTGGATTAGCACAACGAAACATCAATACATGTATTTACACATAGAGCATTCAGATAAAAGGCGGTATCTTGTGGTTTTTTTTAAAGGGAACACATATAAAATTATATTCGAAAATTCATTTTTATATCATAAACAAAATCTTATTTCGTTTCTCTTAATTTTTAATAATGCAGTGTAATATTAAAACGAAACGATATTATTATCTCAGATTTAAACCCCCGTTGACAGTTTATGATAATAAAAATATATACATTTACCTCTTGCACATGGTGAATATCGAGTTTCTCTGTTGTAAGATAGATGGCAACACACCTTCAGTAATTTATTTTTCTTTTGTAGTACTTGACTTTTGTAAAAATCTAACTTGATATTTACATACAATCATAGTGCATTCGTACCAGCTTGTAAATCAAGTTCCCTTATTAGGGTTTATTTTTATCATATTTACATTGGACACATAGCAAATGGTATGGATTTTACGTATTCATTCTAGTTTGGTCGCTTGAGAAAGTCCAAATTTTGGTAATAGTAAAAAGTGGTATCCGATGTTAGGGTAATATACACTAAGTCATGATTCTTTGGGTATGCATATAGATGGCATTAGGTATAAAAGCGAGTTTCTTGTTTGAGTAGGAAGTTACTACCCGCATCTGATACAGAAGTCACTAAAGATAAATAAATAATAATACAAAGAATCAAAGAATATAAAGTAAATATTTTGTGATTTCTGAAAAAAAAATTCAGACTACGTTTTGACTATTGAAAGCTAGTTTCTTTACCAGAAGGGGGTAGATAAACGTTTTACTTATTACAGATATCTAGATTTATGCTGTAATGTGGGTTATCTTAACTGAACAAAACTATATAATAAAATCCAGGAAAACAGATATAAAAAACAAAGATTACTTAGTTCAATAAGGAAACACCTGTATGATATATGATGTATTTTTTTGCATTCTTTAATTCAATATTTACAAATTAATCAAGCCTAATAAAAAATGATTGGAGGCCAAACGAACTAGCTACATGTATATAGAAAAATATTAATATATATTTTCATTATTTACATTAAACGACAATTTAGATAAAAAGTGTTATTTAGATTTAGAAGATTAAAACAAAAATTGCAGATTACATAATGTCATCGGCTCAAATCAAATATTATTCAAATGCTTTCAGTCAAACTGAAAACACCAAAATGGCGTCATGAAATCAATAGAAACTAACGTAAACTGTTAAAAGATGTTTTTATTTTGGATTGATTGTACTCAATGATTTTAGAACAGTTATTTAAATTGATATTATTAATGTAACATGGTATTACACTCTATAGTTACTGTTTATTGGAACGATGTCCCTTTATATAAACATAAACGAATCGATAACAAATCAGAATACAGGTGTACATGTTATATATTTACCAAATTTAATCATTTTTCATACTTCATACATGTTCCCTAAAATAACAAATTACTATTCTTGTTAAAGATTGTCAAATAGATACATATGTTTATATATATAACATATTAATATATTGTTTATCTAATATTAATAAAAATAATTCATATCCGAAAAACATCAATGAACTATCCACAGATAAAATACAGAACAAGGTAGAAAGTTACAAGATAACATTATGATATAAATTTTACAAACAAATCAAGTGTAAACGAGAAACAAGCACATATTATTCTGTTATTAGTAATTTAGTAGCTTTCTGTGGTATAAATTTTACATTTTCCCAAAATATCACAAAAGTATGTGTAGATGTGCATTTGCATTTTCGAATATATCACAGAAATACGTACGGATCAACCTATGCATTTTTCCAAAATATCAGGTATGGATAAACCTATACATTTTCCAAAAATATCACAAAATTACGTATGTATAAGCTATACATTCTCCTAAAATATCACAAAATGACGTATCAATAAAATATGCATTTTCCCAAAATATCACAAAATTACGTATAGATAATCCATACATTTTCTCAAAATATCACACAGTTACGTATGGATAACATTTTCAGATAGGTAACAAAATTACGTATGGATAACCTATACATTTTCCAAAAGGTAACAAAATTACGTATGTACAAACCTATACATTTTCTCATATATCATAAAATTACCTTTGGATAACCTACTGTATACATTTTCCCAAAATATCACAAAATGACGTATGGATAAAATATACATTTTTCCCAATATCTCACAAAATGAAGTATGGATAAAATAGACATTTCCTCAAAATATGACAAAATTACGTATGGACAAAAGTACATTCTCCCAAAATTGCATATGGATAACCGATACTTTTCCGCAGAATAAAATTACGTATGGATAAACCTATACATTTTCAAATATATCACAAAATTTTGTTTGGATAAACCTATACATTTCCCGATATAATTATCTAAAAATTAGGTATGGATAGACCTATACAGCACTTTCCGACATATCACAAAACTTCGTGTTGATAACCTATACATTTTCCGACATATCACAAAGTTTCGTGTGGATTTTCCAGTCTTAGCGAAACTTATAACATATTTAAATAACACAACACTGTTAATATTTTACGTTTTATTCAAGAATTACTTAAGCAATACATCGCCACATTATCATTACTAACTAATTGTATTGTTTTATTTATACATACAATTACAATGAAATTTCCTAATGTTTGGATTTTAAGATTATTAAGAAATCTATTATTTCATTATGAAAAACTAAGCTTTAGGAAAACTTAGTGTATGAATACATGAATGGTCTTTGACTACATTAATTATAGGACCGCGTAAGTTTATTATTATGTTGACATTAGAATACAAGAACGCATCATAGCGTAATATGTCATTTGTCCATGTATAATATTTCTGGTTACTTTAATGGCACAATTAACAGATTATTCAAACACAATATAATCAAAATTACTTAATGAATCGATGGATACATATTAGGTAGTGTTTTATAAATATTATTAGTATAATAATACGCTATTTGTATGCGGGAGGATAATCTATGAATTGAGAATCTCATTTTAACCAATATTAACCCACGATTGTCATCCAAACCAACTCCCGTACTTCCAATAATTGCCAGCACGGTGAATGTATCGATTTTTAATAGGACGACTGTTGACTTGGATGCGACAAGTTAACATTTGAATATGTCCGATAGTTTACTGAGATGAGTAAATCTTTGATTTTCCTATTGACGCATTAAAACACCTCGCTTCCATGACAATACGTGTCTTTATTACCAGTCATGGTTTCATGATACATTTTACCGGAGCGATAGATCTCTGTCAATATAACAGACTATATTCGTTCCCAGAGTTTCAAATCAGCTCTTGTTGTTCTTTGTTCATCGATTGAACGCATTGAGTGGTAAAGGGTGGGTGGGGCAACTCGCTAGAAGTTAATCGAGTTTAAAGGTTTAAATAATATTTATTACTAACACAGTAAACACACTGGGATAATCATAGGAAAATAATCAAAGGATGAGAAAACAAGCGCCATATCATAACTTTTACAAATTTACGTTCATAATCAATAGACTGCTGATGGTTGAATATTTCGAAGCAAAGTCTAAAAACCAATGCTTTATTAACACAGAATAGGATAAATCTGAAGTTTTAGTTTACCAGTATTAATAATTCTAGTATAATAGATAGGCATATTCGAAAATAATCAAGGTATGAGAAAACACGGTGTTTTATAACGTTTACAAATCTTTTTCGCAACCAATAGACTGCTGAAAGTTTAATATTTCGAAGAAAATTCTAATCCAATGCTTTGTAAACACAGAGTATGATAAATCTGAAGCTATAGTTTATCAGTATATATAACTCCTGTATAACAAATAGGCCGAGAGAGAGAGAGAGAGAGAGAGAGGGAGGGTTCAATTTAATTTCAATACTGAGATGTCATTAGTAGTAGGAGGAAACCGCGGGGTGGGGGGGGGGCGGAGAAAGCTTACGGGGTTAATACATAACGATACACGCCACCACTGACATACGTTATAATCTTACGTGGAAAATGGGATTTATCATAACAATCAAAAGCAACAGAATTCTTAACTTGGTTTGAATTTTTCAATCGTTTTAATCAGAAATACCCTTTACTTTGGGATGTTGTCGCTGTCTGACATGTCGAGTCTTGCTATAATTATTATTAACTGTTTAACTTTCATTTTCATATATCCGGATCTCACTTCATAAGCCTTAAAGTTTTGATAACTACTTTTAATTTTTTGTTGAGGATATCTACCTATTCACTACTAACATTATTTTTAGCAGATTCGATATTCTACTACAATGGGCTTCCACCAAATCATGTATGTTTGAATTGATATTATAGTGGAATACTCCCCTTTCATAAATACTCAACAATACTTACCATTTTTAACAGAAGTTATTGTTTTACCGCAGTCATGGTCTGTTAAAGTATTCCATTATTTTCATGACATTTCGTTTGAAAAAATTCATATAGCATAACGTCTATACACTTTTATCAGAAATACAAAGGAATGAATTAAAATTAAAGGGCATCGAGACTGTATCTGTTTTTAGCCGCATTGACAGCTGTGACGTTATGATGGTAACTGTCATCCACTCGAAACAACCAAAGCAAGCTATACTACTTTTCGGTTCCATAACTTTCATCTATGTGTATATATTAATAGAGTAGGAAGAGTATTTATTATGGCACGAGTGCTTGTTATTGTTTATGACAGCAACCCGGTCGATGATAAAGCTTGTGTTTGAATTTATTTAAATGCGAGATGAGTTGTAGAAACTATTTTTATACCAGAAAATAAATTACACATATAAAAGTTTTACAAAAGTTAGATTCCTTTAAGTTTAGTTTGTTAGTTTGCATAAACTATTGACTCCATAGATGAAACTGTAAAAAGGGATCTCAAGCTATGACGAAGTAAAGGTGATGGCGACTATTATATCCTTCATTGCATCATTGAGACCGATTAATGAGTACAGTACATGGGTTTAAATTCTTCCTGTTGTTTACCGAATGTACAGTTATCTCAGTCTTCAGCCATTATGTTGATGTATACCTGAAGCGTAACACGATAATCCTATCGTCCTTGTTAAATCTTTGAATAAAGATCATAGTAGGGGGCTTATAGGAAATGTTGCTACGAATTACAGGGCAGCGTCTATTCTAAAATGCTCAAATAAAATCTATTGTTCCCTTTTGAACACCCACTGTTTATAAGGCCAGTATCCATCAGGGATTACATATGGTCAATTAGTAATTATATAGAGGCTAGTTAGTGACTAATAAGCATCTTACTGCTTTATTTCGTTCTTCAATGGTCTTAAGTTCTTCTCTGTAATAGTCGTTCAGGGGTTTATTCAGTGATCGTAATCGGTTCAATGTGATAGTCGTTCAGCAGCAGCTAAGGGATAGAAGATCAGCTTATGTAAATAAAGTTAAAATGCAGCTTATCATATCATTGAAAATATGTCACCTATAATTTAAGCATAACTTTCAAAGAAATCTGTAAATAATTGATGCTAATAAGTAGATCAAAGAAAATCTTATAGTGGATATAGATAAGCAGGTGTTCAATTATACGTATGTAAAAATATAATATAATGTCGACATACATATGTCAGTCATACCGATATTTAAAGTTCAACTTTTTAAAAGTTTGAAATACCGAAAATAAGCAAAATTAAGTAATTATTATTTTTAATTTTATGTCAATTTAGATATTTCACCTGAAATAAGCCATGATTTTAATAGCACACCTAAACATATTGTGTTAAGCTTAATGGAATTAAAGATGATAAATAATAATATTAACAATTAATTTTTAAAAAAAACCCAACAACAATACTTTAAGAATAGATGGAGTTAGGCCTATATTAAAACGTTCACGAGATTGAGCACGGTGTGAATATTTTTTAAAATTAAAATCCAGGAAAGAAAAATGTAATAAATATATTTATATAAAGGGAAAATCTAAAAAAAAACCAAAACATTATTCATTTTTCGTCTGATTCCTGTCGCTATAGTAGTGTTCGTTTACATTTATTTATCATGTTTATTTTTCAGGTCGCATATTGGTTGATATACCATGTAAAGTTTGTCAAGATCATTCTTCAGGCAAACATTATGGTATCTACGCTTGCGATGGGTAAGTCTCTATTGTGTATACTCACAAGTTATTTATGTGTTCAAACTTAATAAATATATGAAAATCTATGTACTTTTTTCACACAGTAAATCTGTTTTGACATACAAGTCCCGCCAAAGACATACAGTAAGAAATAATCAGTTAACACTTGGCTGTATAATTAACTTCTATAAGCGCATGTATTCATACAGAGCAAACATCTATATTATCAGCTAGTTTCTATACTAGTCCCATGTATTCTTTAATTGACTCTCTGTTTACCAACTACACCTGGGTAAATGTTCATATTAAGGATTAATATTAAGAATTATACGTTATTTTCAATGATTCTATAATACAGCACTTGTACAAGTGTATTTTATTGTACGAAGTCTCAATACTAAACTTCAGAGGTACAAATAGAGAAAAAGCTTAGAGTCACCCACGTTGTTGATTTTGAAAGAGCCTTTTTTTCACGCAGTTACTAACTCTGTTTAAATATCTTATAACGAGGCAAGGATCGTCTGAATGGTAGACCACTTCACAAAACAGAAATAACATGTTGAAATTTTTCCCCTTTTGTATATGTCAACTGTAAAAATGTTTTGTCCTTGCCTTTTATTTATAAAATACTCCGACCAAAAGTTCTGTTGTATGTTTTTCAATTCAACTTCGTTAAAACGAGTAAAGCTGAAGTCTAGAAATTGTCAGTGTTTCATAAACTGACAGAAGTGGATTTGAAGATTTTCCACCGAATTAACGACATCTTGTTATCCGGCTCTTGTGTTTATAATAGAACAATTAACACGAGGTATCCACCCAATGTTATCACCATTATAATGACACAAGAGTATGACTACTCCTCAATCTTGACACTTAGTCAAACAGTTTCTAATTATTACATCAAGTTGTTTCATGTTGTTGAATAATTTAATGACTCTAAAACCCGTCCTCATTCTTTCATTTATCTCTTTTTCAGATGTGCCGGTTTTTTCAAGGTAAGTTAAGTCTATCATTAAGTCTATACGTTATTGACTTCCCACCCGTTATGTTTGAATAGCAAATTAAGTGTAGTAGAACTTCGATTATAGAGTGTTAGAAAAGGCCCAGTGGTCAGTCTATAGACCCCTCTTGTGGACACTGAATGTTGCCTTTAATTACTATTTAACTCTATTCCGCGCAATGTTGTAGAGTTTTTGTGAACAAGTGTAGAAGAATGTTGAAGCAAACACATCCCCTTGTATTACCCCATTCTTTAAATCGGCTTTGCATTTGGCAACTTTTCCGCCTAGCCTCATCCATTAAACCCATGTTTACTAGAACAAAAGTCTCGCGATTAGAAAGTTTAACATTTTCCTACACAAACCCACCCGCAATCGTCAAAATATGCGACATCAAAGGTAACGTTCATTGCCCACGTAGCTGTAAGATCAGCGGACAATATTTAGTTTATGTGTGAGCCGACATAGGGGCTGGCAAGAGATTCCCAGCCATCCTAAACGCGTAGAATTAAACTGAAAGCTAAAAACTTAACACAAACTTTGTTACTGGTGAACCATACAAGAGAGAAAGCGGGAAGACTTATGTCAACATATAAATACCCTTAGGGCACGTCGTCTTGCAAGTGTTCACAAAAAGAACACATTTCATAGATTTTCTATACGAGAATGAAGTGTTACACGCAGAAGTCAGGTTTGCATTTAGCTTTGTCAGTTGCTGGCAAAACAGAAACAAAGAACACCAGTCCTTCACTTTATACATTTGTTGAACATCTTAAAGAGCGCTTTTCTCACAATATTTATATTCAGCACTTCTGACATTAAAAAAAACATCGTCTTTTATTCAATATATTATTTTATTCTTTATGAAATAAGTAATTGTCTTATGTCAAAAATAATTTTATTAATTTAAAATTCAATGTCATTGTTCTTATGAAAGTGTTTATCTTACAATGCCAATTTAAAAAAGAAAAACTGGTAAAAAAGAAAATGACTCATTTGTTTTTTTTAAAATACGTTAACCATTTTATTGAGAATGTCAATTTGCTAACTTGAAAGAAATTTGTTATTTTACTTTTTCAGCGTTCAATTCGTCGAAACAGACAATACATTTGTAAATCGCGTGGTCAAGGAAGCTGTCCTGTAGATAAGACTCACAGAAATCAGTGTCGTGCTTGCCGTTTGAAAAAATGTGAAGAGGCGGGAATGAACAAAGATGGTAAGTACTTTTTATCAACCTTTTCTTTATTGACCTTTTCTTATTTTCTTCTATGCTGATTATTTACCCCGTGTCATGTCTAGCTATGTTTTTGGATTGAATATGATTAATGAAAACTTGGCAATGGTTTGTTTGCTATTTAAAGATACATTATGTAAGATTTAGATAAAGAACTAGCCATTCTTACTATAATAGTTCGAAAATAGATAATGTAAAATGAATAATTTGAATATTTCATTCATATTACTCTATTGCGAGCGAAGATATTAGCCTTTGGAGGTTTGACAAGACGTGTGCAATAATTTCAACCACCGTACTGGTTGTTCGAAGCTAAGTCTCGCTCCTCCATTTTTAGCTTAAATCAAAATATGGCTGAACTGTTCTAATCTATTTAATATCGGAGAAATCCGATGCCATCGAGAGTTGATTATGGCATGGATAAGTTAATTAATCTCTAATTAATAATTTAGAAAACATTTCAGGCCCAAAGAAAGACCCGCATTAGGCAGATTTAATTTTTTGCTAAACTATTTATTCAGAAGAAAAACTATTGAGGGAGAAATTTGTTATGTAAACATGAATAAGAATAGAACGTCTACCATGATACATGCCATGGCATCATCACTTTTACATAATTTGACAAAAATTAAAATGTTAAAAAACTAGACATCTTTTTTTCCTAAATAAAATCCACCCATTTTTCATTGTCAATCCAGTGATAAGCTTTACATAATAAATGAACTCAATATGTTCAGTAATGAACGTGTGTTACGTAATTATTTAATGTGTGAAATAATTAGTTTAGTAACAAAATAATCTGAACTTTGTAAATAAAAGAAATGCGTTTAAAGTTTAACAAAAGCTTGAAATTCGACCACAACAGTGAAAATACGACGCGTGACGTTTGCCTAGAATAGTTTGGCTACTGTAACAAATCTTAATGGGCTCCTTAAATTTGATGAGACTGAAAAGAAGGTGGCTTTGTCATTGATATCAATGAAATTTAAGCAGGAATCGCACTTTAACACGCCTGTACGTGTACAGCTAATTGACTTGTACTAATCGTTAAGGGAGAAAATACAAATAACGAGCAAAAGACCAAACAAGACTCGGGCAAGGAGAACAGTGAAGATGTAACGCGAGATGAATTACGTCCTGCTCTCTGATTAGTCAATTACCGCTGCCATTGTATGCTGGGAGCGGAACAGCGGCCATACTAGCCAGCCATCACGTTGTTTGACTGTTTAAAATACAGTTAAGCTTTGAAAATTGACAGGTTTTTGTGAGAGCGTCTGTAAACGAATATTTTCATTGTTCGACGGTTAGCGATAATGGGAAATTAATGAGTCAGTCTTGATGGTAAATGAATTATAGTCTGTATTAATATTTATTGTTAACTTCATACAGAAATCTATTAATATTTTACTTGGTCGTGATGTTCATGATGGCACGCAATCTAATAAAAATCGTTTATCTTATAGTTAAATACGGAAACACGGCCCTGCCATGGCATTAGATAAAACGTAATGGCTTTAGTTTTTGTTTAATTGCATAATTTTACGAGTTAAAAAAGATAGACTTTAAGTAAATAATACCATCATGGAAACTTTATTAAGTGTCCCTGAGCATGTCACTGAAAGCCTATGAAATATTATATTCACCATGAAAGATAGATGAATAGAAATAGGGATAAAAATGATGAGGCACATTTTAGGGCCTACCCTGGGGCGGGACCAGGAAGCTACTGCTATTGACGAAATGAGGCTGATTTTTGTGTGAAGTATGTGATCCGAAATGACTCTTTGTTAAACCTTTCATTCCTCGCTTCACCTGCGTAAATATTTTACACAAAAGAAGCGCTAACCAAGTCTCACTCAATTTGAAAATTGTGAAGAAAAGTACACAAGATTTGCAACGCTTTCTCAATTCTGTTCGTGCTCGGTGAAAATACGTGGTGTCGCGTTGAGATCGGACGCACAGGACTTTTGTTATGTGCTCTATTCAAAAGTTATAGTTTCTTTTCTGTAGTTGAGTCAATATTCCCGACCTTCTAGGTATAATGTTTAATCAGGGTTACTGTAGAAGAGAAAGGGACCTCTTCTCAAAACACAGTACAACAAGAGAAAACTTTTGATTTTGCCCAAACATGAGCTGGTGTGTGATTTGTTTAAAACCGCTGTAAGTTGGCACCTTACTGAGGGGTTTTGACACGTGAATGGAGAAAGGGTGGTATCAGTCTAACTATTGTAAAGATAAACATACTCGACGTAGATGCCTTTTTCTCATAACAAATCTTTTAAATTTCTGGCTTTAGATGTGACTAATTTGACTTGATATAAGAAATCCGGATTGGGATCGGCCCACACGTGAGACAATCACAAGGAATAAGAAGTTCACAAGGTGCGGTTATGATATTAAAAACATTAATTATTCTCTATGATAAAGGCTACTCGATAATGTTTTCAATCCACTTCATCAGTTATTCAGTATTGAAATCATGTTGAAACTATTGACGTTGTCGTAGTCTTTGCGTCAAAAGGCCAACGTCGTTCGTTGATTTTGCGACGGCGTAAAAACATTCAAGGATAATATGTATTGCATGCTCAACACTTCAGATCAGCGGGGACTTTGTTGAAAGATGCCCTCATACCCGCTTTTACGTGATGAACATTGTTAAATCCAAATATCTGGCTTCTAATCTTTCTTAAACTGGGCTGTTTTATTTAAAACCACGTATCTCCCGACAGCTATATTCTGCACATTATTTATCTTTTACCTGCGAGAAAATTACGCACTGGGATAATTATCTCATAAATGGCAGGTCCGAAATAGGCTATGACTGCGCGTTCTAGACCCAATCTGTGAGAGGGATTATTTCAAATAGATAACAGGATTTATAACCCTTTTCAAAAACTTTTTTTTTATATTTTCAGCTGTTCAACACGAAAGAGGGCCACGCAATTCCACAATAAGACGGCAAGTGGCTATGTATTTAAAAGAAACGAGTGAAATGGGTGGAATTATAGCACCTCATCCATTCCGTTCACCATTTCTACCAGCAGCTTATGTTGGATATGAACAAACTATCAATGATGGTATAACGGTTTCAGCCGTAGACCCAGCTCCTGTCTCACCTGGAATGATTATGCAACCCGTTCCCAAGGTAACGCATCTCTTTGTTATATAAAAACAATAAAAAACAACATAAATCTACCAGTAACTTTTCCATATTTCATAATGGTGAATCTCATATTACAATATACATGTATTATTAACATGCAGTAATATTTCAATTCTATGTGGTATTAAATCTCTAAATCAGCATTTTGTTTTTGAACATCATTTATATAATACTCTTTTTTTGGCAGGGTGTGTATAATACCGTTCTAAGTTTATTTTTTGTTTTGTTTCAGTATCCTCACGAAATGATGCAAGCCTATCTCAATAATCCCGAGGCTATTTGTGAAGCGGCGGCCAGGTTACTTTTTATGAGCGTCAAATGGGCAAAGACAGTGCCAGCATTCCTTAGTCTTCCTTTCCGCGACCAAGTCATACTCGTGGAAGAAGCTTGGCGAGAACTATTTGTTTTGGGAGCCGCCCAATTTCAGATACCTTTAGAGGCTGGCCCTCTCTTAACTGCTGCAGGTGGGTCGCCAATGTTTGATCTATTTAGATATCAGGTAACCATGGTAAAGGTTACTTGACAGTTACAGAGTAATTATTAGTCACTGACTTTAGTTAGTAATTTTATTACGCAGTACCTTTTAGAACTATATTATGAATTTATCTTTCAACTACACGTATATGACATAACCCCCCTCCCCGCCCCCGTAAAATGAAAAAACTCTTTTAATTTCGTCAGAATGAAATTGTAGATTTCAGTGGATTTTCAGTGTTGATTAATTTCGTGGGACCGCAACCCGTCTTTGTCCATCGATGTAGCCACTGTTCAGATATAGGTCAAGAATGAGACTAAAATCTTTCGAAATAAAAGGTTAATCATAGAGATTCCCCGATCACTAATTCAAAAAATAATATAAGATCAACCCAATTCAACACTTGACCTAGATCAAACTAAAACATTACTACATTCGAGCCTTTCCTTTCATTTCACATTAGATATTTAAGAGATTAGCAAAATATATACACAGTCCCCTCCCCACCAATAACGACAACTCTCGCGTAAAGTTTTCTATATCTGTTCAATAACTCATGGAGCATCATTTCTACATGATTATTTTATACATATTTCTAATTTTATGTCTTTCAGGTATAAGCACAGAGCAATCTCCACCAGAAAAAGTAGTTAGTGTTATGACAGAAATCCGGGCATTACAAGATGTTATAACTAAATTTAAAGCAATACAAGTTGACCCAACAGAATATGCCTGTTTAAAGGGCATTGTCTTATTTAAAACAGGTAATTAAAGATTAATTAATTCACTCAGTCAAGTTCATTCAACCATCAACTTTTATCAAATAAAATGAATGAAATGGGGTTTAACGTCTTATTTTTGTCTACTCCATCCGGGCTAAAGAATTCGGGCATACGCTATGTAGTGTGAGGGACGTTTTGTCCGGACAGCGGTGCTACGACTCTTATTTCCAATTCAAAAGGGATCTGTAGACTCCGTATAAAAGCACTTACACCTTTAGATGCATGATCAATGGGGCTATTACTTACAGACCTCTACCATCAGCAATATCAGGATTGTGATTTCTGTTATGTTATATATTGATGAACAGTCAAATATCATAGACTCTTCTGGACTAAAAACAACAAAAATGTTGGTTGCATCAGGTATCCTAGAAAGCTCGAATTTTAAATGAAGAATTCTGAAAGCTAACTATAATTTTATTTTAACATGTAAATATATTTTAAAAGATTAACATTATTTTCCCTACCTATTAAAATTGAATTTTGTTTTTCTAATTTCAGTATTTCCAAGTAGTACAACCGAAATGAAAACTTTACGTGAATTCCATACGGTAGCAACATTACAAGATCAGGCCCAGTTAACCCTAAATCATTATATAAGAACTGCTTATCCATCTCAACCCTTTCGTTTCGGTAAATTGTTACTCTTGTTACCATCGTTACGTGCTGTGTCTGGACAAACAATAGAAGAAATATTCTTTAGAAAGACAATAGGATCAATACCGATAGAACGGTTATTAGTGGACATGTTCAAATCTAGTGATTTTTAGATTCTAAAAAACATTAATCCCGGACATTTCCTAATGTGTAATCCTGTTCAAGTAAAACAATTTAAGGGTAAACGTGTGAATCGAGAATGTGCTTTGTTTTTTTGTGCGAAGTGCAAATGGTGACTAGAACTGGGCAAGGATTATAATGCAATTACTAAGCGGCATTGGATTGTCAACCGAATCGAGGAAATAAGAACAACGATACAGTCAATTGGCACTAAAGTTGTTGACATATTATGGATGCGCCATCTTGCATTAAAATATGGCGACTGTAATGAAGCTGTCACAGTTTGATATAAGATATATATCAATGTATTATATTATGTTTTATTATATATTTATTACATTTTAGCCGTTATTGTTATCATATTAATTCATTTTTTAAAAAAATCTGAAACCTATATGTTGTTATACAGTAATTATGGGTATGGGAGGGGATATTCAATTTTTAATGAATGTAGGTTTCGTGTTATTATTCAAATTATGTTACTTTCGTAAAAGTGCTATTTAATATAATAGGGTTTCTACAGTAATTGTTTACAAACCAAACCTGCTTAAATACATATAGACGCGGATCCATTTCTTTATCATTAAAATCGCTTTCTTTAGAAAATAAGGATTTTTTGATGCTCGTAAAAAGGAAAATTTGATCCGTGACTTAAATTCACTTGTAGTTTTTCCTACATAACGAGATAGATTTGCCCACTCGAACACTTATAAACGATAAATAAACAAGCATAGGCGATAAGTACACTATGTTCGTCGCAGTTGACATAAGCTACTATTACCTGAACACATGGTTGGTTGAATAAAAACATCACTGAAAGACCTAGAATCGAAAGCTATGGTTCGTGACAGAAATAGCGCGTCGAATGCCAACAGTAACATGGAGAAGTCATCGATGATTATCTGGAAACCTGATTCTTTCCTGACTTTTGAGAAAAAAGTCAAAAATTATTTGTTGTTGGTCAAGAGGGAATATGAGCGTAGTGTGATGGCATGCACAATCGACCATATTAAGAAGATCGTGTATCGTCAACTTGATAACGTTGTACAAGGCCGAGTCGTTCGCGATAGTAATATATAGCTCTGACTTGAAGGACTTTTGAAATGCTCATCAATACTGACTCTTGTGTGTTTTAATCAGCCATATTCTTTATCAAACGATGGCGGTATTGTTGGCTTTTCCTCTATAAGAGGATATACCATAACAATCTGTTTGATATCAATATTGTTGTGGGTAAAAAATCACCGACATTGAATGATAGATTTCATTTTACTAACTAAAGATTAAAATCTTGATCAAATAATATACACAAACATGGTTTTATGTGTTCGCAGTCTAACATTTATAATATGACTCTTCACGTACTTGATTTCCCCGCAATGGCTTTATTTTTTATTTTTCGAGAGACAATATCAAAGACAAATCATAAAAAAAATATTTTTGAGTGATCTATCTCAACTTACTTACATGTATGTAAAATTCCATTTTATAATAGGTCATTTAACTTCTAAAAAAATATTAAAGATCTTAATCTTTTTAAAACATTATTAATGGACTGTTTTACTTCTGTACCAAGCATTAACCTTTCTGTGTTCACTTTATAAAATGTTCTTTCGTTATTCTATTATAGTGCTACTGATATTCCCGTTGTGTTAGTTATAGACTGCTCTGATTCCTTCGTGTGTTCATTTCTACCTTAATCCCTTTTTAAAAACTTCTTCCTTGTGTTCATATTGTTCTTATGCCCTTAGCAAGATCACTCATCAAACAAAGCAGTATACCTAATATTCAACTGTCTACAAACTGATCATCTTTTGTTTGATTAACTATTACTAACTTGAAAATCGAATTCTAACTCGTGTTAATAACTCCGATCACGATATTGTTTTTTAAAATTAGTTTGAGATTGACTGATGAATGAAGAAACCATTGTTCATTTGAAACCATGCTTTACCGTTGTAGTTTGAAAATGTATCATTCCTTTTCATATTTTGATATTGCATTTCATTCCACTATTCCATTATATTATAATTAGTATATAATTGTTAATCTATCTCTGTATTTTTTACTGTTCATTAGTGCAATATTGTGGAGATATAGAATCTCCAATATTTGATGAATCTTATTTTTTAAGCTCAAAGATTGAATATATGTATAAACATCAAACATAGAATAAAATATTAAAACAAACAAATGATTGGTTGTTGTTTATGATGAAATGGCTCTCTCCGGGTATATGTAACACGACCTTCGTATGCATTATAACTGTGTATGTAAAATGGCCATGGCCCGTTATAACAAATTCATTATTGCTCACGAATATTATATTATAGTCTTTTGGAGAATAATGTGTAGAAATGGTTGCTGGCATTGCTGTTTTACCGACAAATATGCTCCTAATCTTTTCTTTAATTTTCAATTGTTTTGCCGTAGTTCCAACATAAATAGGTTTAATGCTATAAGCTAAGCTATAATATTAAGGTTTACAAAAGTTACGATAAAGCTATGCAAATATGTTTACATATTCTCGTAACAGTTACCTATTACATCTGTGAATCTAGTTGCCTGATCACTTTAAATTTTGGTATAATTAGGTAAACATCTCCGCGTTACGCGTATATATTGAAGTGCATGTGTGCTGCGGTTAAAATGTTGATCTCCTTAAAAGTTTAGATCTTCTTTTTATTTGAAGGGGTCATTTCTAGCTTCCGGTTTGGATCCGTACTTTATCTCCTTTAATTACATAAATGTCAGTAATATAGCAGGTACACATAATACGCAATGGTAGTTAATATATATCTAAGCAAGTCTATTTATAGTAAGTAAAACAGAAAACATAGTAAATAGATAAGCAATACAAAACTAAAAAACATTTGGGATCTTGAAAGCTCATTAGTGTTTTATAAAAACAGTGAAAAGAAATGTGAAGCAACACGATAAAGCAATTCTCGACTGTCAAATAAATGGGCGCCATACGAAAATAGTGAACTTAGCAGTATAGGTAATTGACGCTACTTCGCACGAGTGCAAGGAACCGAGTTCTGGTTGTATTCTTGATAACCAACTGGGATCGATGGTACATTATTCATCTATTAAATGTAGACGCTCTAACAAATCGGATAATCTGAGATATATACGCTAGACGAGCGATCAGGAATAACACTGGAGGGGAGAGGGGTTAAGTTGTGCCACTTGCCACAAAAAACTGCTGTTGAGTCCAAAGTATCCAAAATTTCCTACCCACAGTAGTTTTACTACACAGTTTAGGAAGTTGTTCATTATCAACAAACATTATCCACCCCAATTACTATAGCACAATTTACCCCTCGGGGTAAGTTGTTCCACTGTATGGGGTTAGTTCAACCTCGTCAATTTAAACAAGAAGTATTGATATATTTCACAACAATGCAAATGTTTATTCATATTTTTGTTCCATTTGGTCATAGGACATTGCAATTATACCATTCACATACAATTTAATCGTGTATTATGAGCGCCTACAAAAAATGGATGACTAGGCTATATAGATGCAGCAGCGCTGAATTATCATTAATCAGAGTATTGAAAGTATCGTTATAGGCCTTATAATGGATTAAAATATCACTACTGAATATAAGGTACAACATAATAACATCAGATAAATCAACGAGATAAGTTCTGTCCCTTTAAAAATTGCCCAGCTTGACCCGAGGTGAACTTTACAAGTAAGTACGCCTCAGCATCGTCACACATCAAATCCAAACAAAATCAACATGCTAGAATTACAACCATATACATCATTTGCCAAGTTGTCTCTTCAGGAAGTCTACACGGTTAGTGAAGAAACAGAAAACAAGAAACCTGTTTTTAAGAAATCCACTTTGGGGTTAAAAAATCTTGATTTTTGTACGTAGCCCCTTTATTCTTGACGACCTACACCAATATCTATCATTTATTAGACTATTTAATAGATGTCACCACCATTCGTGCATCTTTACCCATACAGGCTGGAGAGGGGGTGGCTCAACTTACCCCCTCTGCAATAGGTGAAGGGGAACATGACATACACAAACTCTGAACAAAACCTGATGCAATTTATTGTTTGAGGAATTCGCATAGATGACAAACTCTGTTCCACGTATTCACGCACGTATTTACAGATACGGATACGGATGTAGTATGAACGGACCTTAAAGCTCGGTTCATACTACATCCGTATCCATAAACGTATCCGCATCCGTATCCACACCCGCATCCGTATCCGCGTTTTGCCGTTCAAATAGAAAACGCGAAAACGTCCGGCTTTCAAGACTGAATTGTCTGTCAGAGATTGAGTTTCTATTTGGGGAGATGATGTAATATGGGGAAAGTACTCGCTGATTGGCTAAAGCTCGGCTCACTAGCCGAAATGCCGGACGCACTTTACAAAAATACGCTCTGGGAGCAATCAATCCGGCTTTACGGACGCAGTTGTTTTTGTGCGCAATACGTGCCGGATTCTATTTGAACCCTTTCTCTAAAAGTGACTAAAGTATACCAGTACGTATTCACGCACGTATTTACAGATACGGATACGGATGTAGTATGAACGGACCTTTTTACTGTATTTAGCGGCGAGTTGCAGATTGCGTTAGCCACCACTGCCCGTGTATACGCTTTTAAGAAGATTCGTCTGATTCTTCTGAATAAGATGCTGAATATTCCTGCTCTATACATTAGTTTGGAATCTCTGTATAAGGGTTGTATTAATAAAATTGTAATCTTTTGGCAATGGTGCGCCATAGCTTAATCTGGAAAGTGAGTTTGTTTCATTTCCTGCCCCTCCCTAAAATGATCTGGCCTTTTTTGCTCTATCACCCATACCTAGAAGCGGCCGTAAAATCAGGGGCTTAGCAATGACTTGATAATATGATCATATAATTTACCTCTCGATAATAATATGCAGATAGGTTTTACTGAAGACATAATGTTAGTGGAATTGTAAATTTAAATTGTTTATTTAATGTATTTTAAACATACATATTGCAAGAGCTAAATCTGCCTATTGCAGGTCTTTCTTTAGGCCTGAAATGTTATCTAAATTATTAATTAGGCATTAATTAACTTATCCAGAGCATAATCAACTCTCGATGTCAACGCTAGCCTGCGATGTTTACTGGATTAGGATACCATTTGCTGCTCCACTTTCATTCTTGATTTAATCATAAATTGGATAATCGAGACTATGTTTTTATATTACAAACTTTAGTAATGATGACCAATTTGACTGAAATTTTCAGCAAATTCCCTTTACATTATCTAGTTTTTAAATATTATAGTGAGAACTGCCAGCTCTTTATCTAATCTCCCATAATGTATCTTTAAGTTAACTTACTACAAACAAAATTGTAGAATTATCTTTTAAATTACATGTACGATATGATAAATTCCAAATTTTAGAAAATATGTATTTTACGCGATATTGCTTTTGGCGGGTACCCTAAATTGTTATTGAGTAGGTCAGAAACCGATTTAATCCTTTATTATGTATATAAACAGATTAAAAGCGACTTTAATCTTAACAAGTGTTTAATATACCGGTTGATAAACACGTTTAGAGAAAGTGTATCTCGTTTGTCACACCGTGTCAACTTTTTGTCATGGCAGCCCTGAAGAGAATGTTTCGAGATCCACGAGGAGATAGCGCTCTCGACATCATACCATGTCAAATTGTTTAATCTGTGATAGTATTATATCAACCACCCGGTGTAATATTACAAACTATAAATCCCTTCAACTGTTAAATATACAAAATATTTAATAAATTCGCACTGTTTATGTCTTTAAGTAAGACTTTTGATGGCTTGATACAAAACGGTGCATGATTTTATTCAAGTATCTCTTTAGAACTCACGTTGGATTAAAAATCAAACATCCCGACAGGTACTTGAAAAAGATCATCTTCGACCTTAATCCCAATAATTTAGCTTTCCCAGACATTTCATCTCTGATCGTTCGCTTGTATGGACAGACACAATACGAAACAGTGGCCATATTATGGGTTACCGATGGCCTCGGGTAGAAGTTTTTCAAAGTCTTTCGACTTCAGTTTTAAATTACAGGGCATATAGTGACTCACAACGAAGGCAAACAACACGACTCTGTCTGCCTTAATTCGTATTATTTCACCTAGAGAAAGCACACCTTTAAATTGGCTAGTTATTGTATAGTCGTCTCGAGCGATATATGCTCGTTTTCTGAAAATATAGGCCCAAAGTCAATGTGTAGTCAAGGGCTTGCTTCAGTATCAATGGGGACAGCTAAAATGGATATTTGAAGTTGTTAAATATGAAATATATAGCCCGGGGCTAAAATCTGCCATTAAAATTGTCGATTATTTCGCTATTGTATTTTGGGATGAGAATATAAGCAGGGTCCCATGGGGCAACCTTAGCTTATGTTCAGTAGAATAGAACACTTTTTGTACAGGCAAAAAAAATGAATCGACTTTCCCTTCGGCTACAACCGCTAAAACTTTAATGCACTACATTTATGGTAGTGGTATTTAATTTAGTTGTTGCTGCAGATTGTTGGCTTCAGTTGAAATTTGTTTTTAATCTTGATACTTCTGTCGAATAACAAAAGAAGTTATGCGCTCTGCAATTACATCTGTCAACTCTTATACTTGCTGCCTGCAGCTTAATTATAAACTAAGAATTGCTTGGAAGAGAGAAAAAAAAGATGATATACAATAAACTGGAGTTGGGGATTTGAAGCCATTGACGTCCAACATTTGAACACAGAAGTCATTAGATAAAATCTGTGCTTTTTATTTTCAATGATATATTGGAGTGAAAGGGGGGTATTATTCTATAGTAACATTAGGTCTTATAGTCAAGTCTACAATTTTCTAGACCGATTATCACTGTTAGAATTCATAGAGTATATTTGAAGTGAAGTGCTTCGGTCGTTGTATTTCAAATAATTTGAATTAAAAAAAAAAAAAAGAAAAAAAGAAATAACTGGAAGCTGACTC